AGTGATGTTTTGAAAATTTTCATGATTACCCGAAACGCATCCGAGTTAAATTTAATAACATTTCAATGCGCGAACAGTTCAAGCCACTTTTAATTCATGTTCCCAATTGATAGAATTGATAGAATATTTCAGCTATTTCATTGATAGTATTTTTTCCATTTAGTATTTTTTTATGATGTGACTGAAATGTAGTATTTATAGAACTATAAGCGAGGTCAGCGGTCTTCGACTGTAATGATGCACCTAACTCAAATAAAACTATCTTACTAATTCCAGACTGGGTGAACCCGCACTTAGCTGGATTGCTGGCTCAAATTTAATCATGTATATCTCAGTCACCATTTTTCGTCACTTCATCCCATGAAAAAGGACTGCCTGGACTTTCTTAATTTCTCAGTGCAAGAAAAACTTATTCCTTTCGGGATGTTTCAAAACCATCCTTACCCTTAGAGCGCGTTTTGTCGTGAAGATAATCCGCGGTTTATAAAATTGTAAATCACATAGGTTATCATAAATAAGCATTCACTCCAAGCCGGTAGTATCGCCTCATTAGAATAAGAAGGCATGGGTTCGAATAACGTAGCAGCCTGAATTTTTTCAAGCTTAACCATTCAATTGCAGATCACCAGTGACATAATAACATTATTTGAACAGTTTCTCCAAGCTAGACTATAAGTGAGGTCACTCACCATGAAACCAACCCTCTAACCCAGTGTCCAATCTGTGCATTGGATACATTGGACTCTTTGGACACAATGCAATGTGGGATAAGAGAATCTTTAGTGTCAGAATAGCTACATAATTTACATGCACTATCGAACTTGACTTTCATCCGAATGGAGGCAAGACTACCTTGATTATCTTTCTACTTGATTTATTCCTCTCATCCCCGTTGCCCATTCGCTCCGCACAAACCCTACAACCGCTTCGGGCTGACGCGTTTTTCTTATCTGTCTCCCTGTTTCCGTTCAAACTGGCCCTTTCTTCCCCGGCCTCAGATTTCCTTAATCGTGATTGGCGGCCGTGCCTTGTTTTACTTCTTTTCTTGTACATCTTTAATCCTTCTATCGAGAGAGTCCTCAAGTTTTCTTCCTCTGCAGTTGGTGTACCTCTTTCTTCCAAGCCACTAGTGTCCCCACCAGAGCTCAGATCTCTTTTATTAAGTAAATTTTCTTCTCGCTGGAAAATCCGGAGAGCTTCTCGGTTAGAAAAATACTTTTCAATCCCATCTTTGAAAGGCGGTTCTTCGTGGAAATGGCGACAAAGCGAGCAATACTTCCTGCGGTAGCTGTGTTTATGGCTTTTTCTTGATCTCTCTCCTCCGTCACAAAAGACATAAACAAGATGGCGGGCTTCTTCGCCAAATATTAGGGGTGGTAATATTGAAGGAGCGTTGCATATCTTGTCTCCATGGATAACAATTTTGCTATTCTGAGAGCTTCTTTCATCCATTCGAATCGGTATAAGATTTCAAGGATAACGGCCAACGATCAATTCAAAATGCCTCGACAAATTGTTCTAATCAAATCCAATTTCTAGAATGGAAATAATCTCTAGTTTACCTGTGGAATGATATTGTCGGCCGAACAGCGCTGAACTTTACCGGTTGTAGTCCACTCGTGTATTCAAGTTTGCGGAATGAATGAAGGGCCGGTTGAGTGCGTTATTCGGCGTATTGACAATACATATCGTCCATAACGTTTACCGTCCAATGTTAATCGTCAAACAAAACGTACGAAGTGCGACAAGTTTGTCGATTATAATGCAAATACTTATACGTTTTCTTCCAAATTTACGTCAAAGATAAAACGTCGTTACAGATAAGTCAATGTTGTGACACAATCAGCAATTGAGACACCTGAAGTGGCTCAGAATCGACGCCGATTTTATCGTAAACTTAATATACGCAATAATTTACGTCGTTGCTAAACATCATAAGTTAACTTAAGCAAGCAGGTGTGAATCCCCACATAAATTATTCATCACGTTAAAGTCCAGCTTCAACAACTGATCAGAATTTGAAATCATCTCATGGATCATTATGTAAAGCCAGCTGGAGAAAAAGTTTTCAGAATGACGGTTTGTTATTCAGCTACCTTTGATTGATTGATTCATTCATTTTAATTCGCACTATTTCGAGAGGTTACAGTAGAGATTGCTATAGATTAAAAAAGTCAGAATATATAAGAACAGTAAATTATATGAATAATCTAAAGTAAAATGTGCGCAGTGACCAAAGGAGCGTAAGCTTTCGAGTTGGCCACTGTCACGTGTAATTATCTTGTGTATCTGAACATTTACATAAGACTTACTTTACTTTAATTCTATATTTACACTAACCAAGGTATTTATACACTATTAATATTGTAAACAAAGAGAAAAGAGAAATAAGTAAATAAGTAAATAAACAAATAAAAAAAAATTAAGTTAAAAGAAGGAAAAAGAAAAAAAAATGAGAAATAAAAAGAAAGAATGAGGCGATTAATGCTAATTATGTAGGGTAAATAAAGTGAGGTAAGATTTGTTGTTTCATTCCTACAGTTTAGGAGCAAGAGAACTAAGTTATTTTATCTGGCATCAAACCAGTAGTGAATTCAAGTTTGACCAACCAAGAGATGAGGCTTCCATTCTTTGAATCAAAGCATTTCACTCAAATGTCAGTCGGAGATCACAAACTACATACACAACATGGTTGCATTCTATTTGCAATACATCAATAAGACAATTGATTTCCCAAGAGCTGATATGTATTTTTCACTTTTAATTGGCTTCCACAACGGCGAAACGAACCGTCATTGAAAGCCAACATTTAATAAAATGGTTTGATCAAAACTAACATTGTAGAGTATTTATAGATCAAGTGAGTCCTCTCATTGCACTTATTCAACTGTCTTTTATTCAATAATCAAGACAGTATATTTACTGTACAATACGCGTTATCAGTTTTTAGCGGGGCTCCCACGCGCGCAAAGCGCGCGTGTGGCAGAGCCCCATACCCATGGAATATGGTCAACCTCTTTTCGTTTGGATGTCACGTGACTGACCGAGCGTACGCACATGCTTTCAGATTGCACGGGTAGGGTAGGGGAGACTATCAAAACGAAGGGAGGGGTGTCTCAGGCGAGTCTTGGCAAATGCACGTCTTTTATGTTACCATTAATATTGCGAACTTGGGAGCTCCGCTTTTAGGCTTGGCTAAATCTACATATTAACTTTTACTTTACTTTTACTTAGGAGCTGGTAGATTTAAGACACGGATTTAAGTAATAGGTTTAAGTAATTTAAGTAATACGTTGCAGTGGTAACCCTGTGTAACGTAATACACTACAACGGTATTAACATGACGTCAAACTATTTAATATGCAGAGTTCTGTGGAGACTAGGGACTCGTAACAGATAGTCAGTTTTTGTTGAAGCGTGGACACCAAGACGAAGACAAGGCTATTACTTGATTTCGGATTACAAGTAACAAGAAAAACACGATTAAAATAATGGTTTTGCATGGATTTTTCGCTTCCTGACGAAAGTTAATAATCTATTTACATTGGCACAGGCCTCATAATACCCAAACGCTCTCCGTTTTCCTGTTTTCGAGCGGACCCAGTGAAAGTGCGACAACGGGAGCGAAAGTGGTCACCAAAAGTCAGTCCAGCGAGCGAAAGAATATTAACATAAAAACTTTCCTCTCATCTTCTCTTTTATACATTCATCAGCCAGACCTTGATGGCTTGAAACGAAGAGAACGGATAAACATAAGTTTAAAGACCGGTTATGTTGACGATGAGCACATCTGATAAGATTCAAACATGTCTCGGGCTACTTCCACTACTCAAAGAAGACCACTATGCGTGTGCTACTCTTTTTTTTTTATTCATTTATGTATATATTGACTCGTATATCCATTAAATTTATTTGTTTATAACAGGTTCAAGGCTTATATGTTTTTGCTTTGATACTTGGAGCTCCAGGGTCACCCCTCATAGTTAGTTGGTTTTGATGCATGTTTTATACTGTCCCCACCCCACTTAGAACAAATACTGTTGATGCATGTTCAATAAGGCCACTTGTTACTCATATCGAACCCTTCATCATAGATATTTTTCCATATCTTATTCTCTGTAAAATTGTCTCTATAATTCAGTCTTGTTTTCATCGCTAATGTTCTCGTTATCATCATGATTATTTTTTATGCTTAATTGTTGTTGTTTTAAATAATAGGTTTGTTATCATTAGAGTAACATCACGTTTCTACGGTACGTAGTAAAAGTAACCATAATTTCCTTCTGGTTTTTCATACCTTTCAGACCATGGTGTATCATCCTATTTTACAAATCTATCAGAGGATCTACCATGCAAAAAGAGTTAATGAGAAATTTTGCAGTGTAGACCATTTCTTTTTCAATTGTCTTTTTGCTTTCTGAAGGTTATGTAGATGAAGAATGTCACATGTAATTCTTGCTATTGTCTGTCCTGCTCATAGATATATATTTTTCTGTATGTGTCAAATAAGTCACGTAAGTACAAACTAATTGGTTACAGTTGTTTCCGTTACTATTAAATTAACAGATGTATAATATAATGATATTTTGAAATGAGTATATAGTCGTATCCATTTTGTTATGTTCGTTAGAGAAAGGTTAAAAACGGCTGAAGGCAGATGGAAAGGAGTTTAATTTTTTTGGGAATTGCCTTTAATTTGCCGGAAACGGGTGCTTAAAGTTAGGGCTAGGGTTAACCTAACTGTAACCCCTATCAATTTTCCTAGAAACACATTTCGCGGGCTCACTCAATAGTGCCCCAAGGAGATTAGTTCGACTTCTGCATGTTGCTGCTGTGCGGTTCTGTTACAATCAGACTGAAATACACTAATTATTAATATCGTTGATATTATTATTATCATTAGTGTTATTATTATCATTAGTGTTATTATTATCATTAGTGTTATTATTATCATTATTGTTAATATTAGTATTATTATCTTCTCTTTCACGCTTTGTTAGCTACCTGAAACGACTCGATATAGCTTCTTTTGCTTGTCGATATATACAAATCCAGGTATTTCTCATTTCTGTGTTAAAACCAGCATATATAAATACATTTACACAGGCGTTAGAATAGGCCATGAATACTGTTATTTTAATCAATGTTAGCGGTGTGCAAGTAGGACAACCCAACAAGCTAATAATGTCAATCACTGTGATTGGCGTTGTCAAGAACACAAAAATACCGACAACTATCAGGACAATCTTTGTTGCCCTTCGCTCTCTATTCCCGCCAGCCCTCGGCACTTTCTCTCGTGATTGATCGCTATTCATCGTATCGCAGTCGGAGGTCGGTCGGCCTGAGACGGCTGTCGCCGATATCTCATCTTTGTAGACCAAAGAGGGACCATCTATGCCGGTTACGTGACTTTGGGTTATTTGTATGCGACGAATTTGACTGCGAGCAGTTTTGAGGATAAAATAGTTTGTGAAAGCTAGGGTGATGATAACAGATAAATTGACGATAGAAAATAGCATGAACAGGTAATCTCGGCTCAGAGTGGTGGAGAACAAACAAATATCAGTTACATCGGCTGTGTCTGCCTGTCCCCATCCAAAAATAGGAAGAAATGCGATGATAAAAATCAGCACCCAAAATAGCGCGACTATAAATGAAGCCTTACGTGGTTCGGCGAAGCTTGTATATAGAAAGGGTTTCTTTAACGCCAAGTATCGATCGAGGCTTATCAGCGTCAGATTGAAATTGGAGGCACCAAAGAGAAAGACGGTAAGCGGTATGACAGCCAGACAAGGAATAAGGGGACGTCTTTCTGTTTGATTCAGCTGATCTGCCAGGCGGAGAGGCATAGCAATGGCCCCCTGAAGCATGTCAGCCACAGCCAGGTTGAGAAACAGAAAATTGCACATCGTGCGAAGTCTCTTATTCCATAAGATTGCAAGAATGACCAAAAAGTTCCCAATGGAAGCCAAAACGGACACGGTTATCATGAATATTGACGTTAAAATTGTTTCTGTTGAATAGGAAACCATTTCGTGGAAAGGGTGTCAAAGAAAGTTTGAATGGAGTGTCCTCGTTGAGATTGACGAAAACGTTGCAGTTCTTGTTCGAATACCCAAAGTTAAGATAAGCGAAGACCTTTGAGAATATCACAGCAATTCAGATAGCTCTGTATATGTCAATTATTAAAAGTTTAACCCGAACAGTTCCCACTGAAAAGAAAATGAATAGATATAGATGAGATATTAACCAATTTGAAAAGCTAGTTTTATATACGTGACTAGTAGACAACCTTACAAGAAAATTTGCGTCAAACGCTAATAGGTGTAATTATGTCAAAACAAGCAGCGACTTAATCATCAAGTTTCATTCAACTGTCTTGTTGATCTTTCCTTTCGACTTCGACCCACCAGGACGACTTGAAATTAAATTGAAAAAGACTTTGTTCTCTATTCATATCAAGTTTCTTTTCAATTAGATTCTAGATGTACCACAATAAAAAACAAAATCATCCATATTTGGTGGGGAGAGGGGGGGAAATTCTTACATTGAAAGAACAGAGATACCCGTTAAAAATAGCGCCATGGTTTTTGTGGGAGATGGCCCTTAAATCGACCATTGTTGCAACCCTTAAAATAGCTTAGAACCAAAATATTGCATTTTTTACTAATGAATTCTAGTACTGAGATTAAACTCCCTGATTTCAACGAGCATATCCCGGCGTCCCCCCCCCACTCCATTATCAGCTATTATCGCCGTAGTGTTGGACACACATGATTTACGCTAATTGACTATCGCAGAATGTCTCCAAAAACAATTAGTTGAGATGGTAAATCTTAATTTCATTCTGGCGTCGATTTGCGATTTTACCGGACAGTTTGACAGTTCCTGCTGTGTCAAAAATGATTTCCTTTACTTCAATATCCTCTCTTCTTTGTTAATGTTGAAACATAAAGTGAAAAAAGTTTTGATCATGAGAGCTTGAAAGATGAACCCTTTTAAACTGTATTTCTGAGTTGTCATTTTCTTTAATCTCGGAGACTGTTAAGCATCACTTTTAATGACGCTTAATTTTTTTTGCTAAGTTATATTCGAAGAGTAGACCAATATTTTCATTTCGTTTTGTTTTTTGTTTTTGCTTTGCCGAGTTCTGGGCACGACCAACATTCATTTTTCATTCGATTTACATAAAGATTAGCCATTCTGACGGAAATTTATCCCGGCACTCGATAAAATAATCCGAGGCATCTTTATTCAGCCAATTTCAATGAAAGCTATTATTTCTATACGATATGCTTTATTTGTAAATTTATTTTTAATGTTTAATTATACTGATCAACTTTTATTGTCGGTGCCTCTATGAAGGCGTTTCCAGAAAACGTCATGAGCACAAAGACGGAAATGTGTTTTTGAGCTCGCACACTAACTTCCTTCGCCAAGTTTCTTGAAAAATATCGCTCATGAAACCTCTCAAACAAATCATTGAAAGAATTGCTCAATAACAAGATAATACAAATTGTATAAAGGCTGATAGTTTCGAAAGAAACTGTTGGCGGCTGCGTCGGTGGGAGGAACGAAATAATTTGGATATATCAACAAAGTTGAAATGGTAAATTGGCCACCGTAATGATTACAAAAGCTGACGTTTCGAGCGTTAGCCCTTCGTCGGAGCCCTTCGTCATTCGCTCCGACGGAGGGCTAAAGCTCGAAACGTCAGCTTTTGTAATCATTACGGTGGCCAATTTACCATTTCAACTTTGTTGATATATCCAAAATAATACAAATTGTCAATAGTTACAAAGAAATACACAGCAGCTACTTAAACGAGTTATTTGCTCAGTAAGGAGTGGCTTTGCAGTTTACCATTCAAATATTGATGAGTACTTTTGCTTAGATTATCGCTAAATGGCTCCCGATAAGCTTATTTTAATAGTAAGCACTGGACAAGAGCTAAAAATTCACTTCGTTTCTCTCGGAGTCTGCCCGCAATTTTGTAACCGACAATGATCTTCGTAAATCATGTCTCTGCGTTTCTGCTTCAACTGTGAAGCCCTTCCTTGAACCTTTTTCTATAGATACAATATCTTTAATCAGGTACGGCGGGCTCCAGACAGGCGCTGTGTAATCTAGTATGTGTCTAACCAGTGACTTATAAAGTTTTGAAGACACACGCTGGCTGCCCAACGACAAGAGCATGAAAGCTTTCACTCGTGCATAATCTTTGGCTCGACTTCAGATTGAAAGATACAGTTAGTGCCTCAAAGTGTTTCTGTAACTTTGCCTGAACACGGCTTCAACTGTACACTTGTTAAAAATTATAGTAAATTCTGACATAATTGTTTGACATCTTCATAAGCTGAAAGAAAATGAACTCAAAACTTCGGTTGTAATGTCAGTGACATGATATAAAACAGTTCGTGATGTTTAGGTACTAACCCGGTTAAGTTGAATGAATTCGATTTTCCTTTCCGAGGCTTCTCATTAATTAATATGGCTAGAATATTATCGAAACATACACTTTTTACCTCGTCTTTGATAGATATTATGTCCACGAAGATCCTAATTTGTCCGGTCTACCATACACATACGAGAGTTTTCGAAGTCGAACTCACCTCATGGCAAAGCTAATTTATGTTTATAACTTGAAAAACACTTCAATATACATAAAGTAGTCACTCTATAATTGGCGTACTTAACGAAGTTATCGACATCTTTTGTTTCAAGGTGCAAAAATGTAATAAAAACAAATCAGAAAGGCCAAAAGTAAGAAAGTCTGTCTTTGAATAATGATGGGCTATTCGCTCGTCGAAAAACTTGATTACAGACTGTAGTTTTATTGAGTTAGCATTAAGTTTCTTATGAAAGCTTTTAAGTTATTTATCATGAAATTAAACTTATTTCAGCGCTGCTGTCAAAACCCCACAAATACTCCCACACACACACACACGCAACTTGAGAAAACTGATAAAAGGAAATAACAAGTACTCAGTTAAAACCGAAGCAAACTGCTTGGGAAACCTCACTGGCAATACAGCAACTGACCCCTTTCAGATATATGGTGTATTACAAGATCAGAGACATCGAAGTTCAAAACGGGTTCATCACGGGTTTATTACGAATCAACTTAACGGCCTGTTCCCAGTTGGCTTGTTAGCTCAATTGGTAGAGCGCTGCACTTGTATCGCAGAGGTCAGTGGTTCGAATCCCGTACAGGCCTGATTTTTTTCAGGTCTGATTTTCGCTATTGCATAAATAGCGCTATCTACTGCGAAGGATCGTGCATCATACGTATTTAATACCGCAGTTCAAAATATATCACTTCATATATTCATTGTATCTGATTTATGACTTTCACGGGTTTATTACGAATCAACTTAACGGCCTGCTCCCAGTTGGCTTGTTAGCTCAATTGGTAGAGCGCTGCACTAGTATCGCAGAGGTCAGTGGTTCGAATCCCGTACAGGCCTGATTTTTTTCAGGTCTGATTTTCGCTATTGCATAAATAGCGCTATCTACTGCGAAGGATCGTGCATCATACGTATTTAATACCGCAGTTCAAAATATATCACTTCATATATTCATTGTATCTGATTTATGACTTTCACGGGTTTATTACGAATCAACTTAACGGCCTGCTCCCAGTTGGCTTGTTAGCTCAATTGGTAGAGCGCTGCACTAGTATCGCAGAGGTCAGTGGTTCGAATCCCGTACAGGCCTGATTTTTTTCAGGTCTGATTTTCGCTATTGCATAAATAGCGCTATCTACTGCGAAGGATCGTGCATCATACGAAGTTCAAAACGTACATTTTAATGAACCTGTCAAACTGCGGCTTAATTCCTCAGTTTATTCGTAGGACAAAAAAGGCTGAAGCCTTTAAATGTTTTTCATGGAATCAATCAACCCTTTTTGATATCTTGAAATCTCATGGTGTACATAATCCCCATATAAAAAAGATCAAAGAGGGTCAACTTCTCAATGAAGTTAACTTCGACAACCGTAAAACGGCCGAACAATTTAGCTTTTAAGAGTAAAAGTTGACAAACTTTAACCTATAATCGTAAAAAGGTTAGCCGTTAAAAAAATTTCTGGTGACAACAATGGAATGATCATTCAACCGTTAGCCGTAAAATGGCCAATATTTTAACCGTTAGCCGTAAAAGCCAGCACCCCACTGAGACCCTCTATAAATCTCTGATCGAATTGCAGGGACAAGGAATAAAGCCACAGCTTTATCTTTAGTTTTAACGAACGGCAGTTTAAACCCTTTAGTCACGTAGAAAAATCATGAGGTCTATTGAATTTTTTTGATGCAAAACGTTGGACAATAATGACAACCTATCTGCTCTGAGTAAAAATTAATTTCATTTAAAAAAATTCAATCCTGATTGCGTCGCACATTTCATTGGATGGACGGAAGCTTTCGAGTCCTCCGAGTTTATTTAATATTTAATTCAAATTATGAACTGCAAGTATTTTCGCTTCAGAACGCACCGGGAGAAAAAATCAAGATCGATAAAGTCCACCGCTTTTATTTCAACTGATTTCACGTCAATTTCAGTGGGCCATACTGCTATCATAACTGCCTTCGCGTAGGGAAAGAAATGAGTTCCTAACTAAGGCAAGCTTTTGAATTTGCGCTGCGCTTTTAGAGCAGCTGTTACATAAAAAACGTTTTTATGCAAAAGCGCATCCTAAAGTTCCGAAATCGACGAAGAAAAGGCAGCAGTTTTACTGACTCTGAAAAGCGTCGGTTATTTTTGTATATTTATTTATTTTATTTTTTGCAATGTTATTCCAGCATAATCCTTATTTTTTTTTCTTCGCTATAATGCACAAAATTATATGTGGACAACCCCATACATGGTGAACGTGTTAAAAATTAAACCTACTGTTTCAATTTTCATTTACATTTCCTTTCATTCTGCAAAAATTCTTAGCTTTAACTTACTATAACTAACTCAAAACCCATTTTAAAATATGTTCACTAAAAACTATCCTCAGGCTTCTGCTATAAAAGTCCAAGGACAACTG